GAGCCTACTCATGGAAACTGCTTCATTAATGACTGACCTCCACCTGTCTACAACATGCACTCACTTGCCCTACAAAGAACCCCAAATACAAAAGTGTGGCAGGTGAGCCTCAATATTGATCTGTCCTTCCATCAACAATAACTGCCCTTGGTTTTCTAATTAAGCCATTTAGAGTACAAGTGACTTAGCTGCCTTTCTTTATGAAGTGGAAAATAGATTTGTAAGTCATATTGCCCGAAGTTTTTGTTTTGCATCCCATATGGAATCTTGGTTCCCCACTGTCACTTCCTCAGGAAACATACATTACTGAGGGCCCCACTGGGAGTTGAGTGCATTCTTCTACATACATAAAGCTGAAAACGGGGTTAATTTTCAATGAAACTATGCTTTGGTATGTTACTTCTGGCTCATCGTGAGCTAGCTAGGCTTTGTGGCCTTGCCTTAGAACGTACCATGTGCAAGGCTATTTCCATGGGGAAGTATACTCCAGCTCCAAATTACTGCCTTAACACACTAACTGGTTAATTGCACAATCTGTTTCTACGTTGGACTCTGCCTACGGGGTAAGAGAGTACCAGTGTAGTAGTACCACTTGCAGAACACTCCAGCTCATCCTCAGCTGGCAGTATTAGCACAGGAAATCTCTTGAGCATAAGCATCACATACAGCCAAGAAGTGTAGTGGAGGTGACAGAATCTGAGGAGCTGGGCATATGTAGATTTTAAGGGGCTTCCTTGTTAGTTGATTGTCCAAGCAGAAGATTTGAAAACCATTTCCTTCATTAGTAAAGGACAAAGCATAAGCAATACAAAATTCAAAGGTTTGCTTATTTCTATATCATGAGCGGGAGATGAGTGCTGGGAATATTTGGAGGATGGAGATCTTTGAACTTAGCACTTAACTTCTCTTTCGTTATTATTTCCATCTGAAAATTGGAGGTTAAAACTAAGTGTTATTTTAAAATTTTCTGGAAGGCCTGGAAGATAGGCATGTGAAGCTACATCAATTAGAAACCTGTAAAGTAAGAAAAGATGTTACTTTCCTTACATTCTCTTCATCCTGCAGGCTCTGCTTGTCTGATATTATTTACACAGGTTTTAACTTCTGGAAATGTTATAATTTTAGTTCATTTAGTCCTGTACGTTTTCTACTGTAGGATATTCACCAGCACAATGGTGTCTTGAGCTCTCAATTAAACATACACATTCTGACTTTGCAAACTCCCTGTTTGATGTACTCTCAGAAGATGGAAATGGATCATTAATGATTTATTTTCAGCTTAAAAAGTAGCAGATAGTATGATAATATTTTCATGAATATTTAAACTTAATATAAGTGTGTTGTATCAATTGTGTCCTGAGACCTTATTAAAAGTAAAGCATTCCTATTTCAAGTGCAAATAAATTTAGAACATACATAGTGTTTAGTGAAAATAATTACATGCACACATTCTCTACTATGCCATCTTGAGGAGAGGGTGGCATTCAACGTTCTGCTCCTGAGATGTTTGACTCAGTAAACTGTTGTCCACAGTCTCCCTGTAAAACACAACAATACGCTTCTCATCCGCTGCTCTGATTCAAGCCTTAAGAATAAAACAGAGTGTCAACTACCCAAGTTGCTGTTCCCACAACATAATATGCAGATGCTCAGGCTCAGTACAAAGCAGCTGGGAGAGGCCGGTGGGCTCTGGAGAGCCCAGAGGTCTTAGAGAGGGACCTGCATGGTACCAAGGAGAAGAAACATAAAAGTTCTAGACTCTTCCAATTTTGTTGGGTCAGTATACTTGATTTATTTATTTATTTATTTATTTAATTTATTAATTGAAACTGGGTCTCACTCTATTGCCCAGGCTGGAGTTCAGTGGCAAGATCTCAGCTCACTGCAACCTCTGTCTCCCAGGCACAAGTGATCCCCCAACCTCAGTCTCCCAAGTA